CGATAACCAAACTCATTGAGGTTTCTCGGGAGTTCAAGATGCCGCTCTGCTTAACGTTCATTGATTTAAAGAAGGCCTTTGATTCTGTTGAGACGGAAGCGGTCATTGAAGCCCTAGCCAATCAGGGCATTCAAGCCCAATACATCAGGGTCCTCCGTGAGCTGTATTGCGGATTCACTACCAGGATCTCACCATTCTACAAAGAAGTGACCGTTGATGTCAAGAGAGGGGTGCGGCAGGGTGATACCATTTCACCAAAACTCTTCAGTGCCACCCTTGAGAACATCATGCGACGACTGGAATGGGAAGGAATGGGAGTGAAGATAGATGGTCGGCAACTACACCACCTCCGCTTTGCTGATGACATTGTTTTAATAACACCAAACATCAGCCAAGCGGCACAAATGCTGGCCGACTTTGACCGTGAGTGTGGAAAGGTAGGACTACAGCTGAATCTTACGAAGACAATGTTTATGAGAAACAGCCTTGTTCCTGACGCCCCATTCGCTCTCAATGGAACGACCATCTCCGAATGCAACAGCTATGTGTACCTAGGTCGAGAGGTCAACATGACAAGTGACCTGGCACCCGAGCTGCGCAGGAGGAAGAGAGCGGCTTGGAACGCCTTCAAGAACGTCGAAGAAATAGCTAAGAGGACGAAGAACCTCCAGCTCCGGGCACATCTCTTTGATTCCACTGTTCTTCCTGCATTAACATATGCCTCAGAGACCTGGGCCCTACGCAAACAAGATGAGAACGCCATTCAGGTCTCCCAAAGAAGAATAGAAAGAGCTATGCTTGGAATATCACGTTTCACTCAAATGAGAGAAAGAATTCGGAGTTCTGACATCCGTCGACGATTAAGGATCAGGGACGCTGTCTCATTTGCCAAGGTGTCGAAAATCAGATGGGCTGGTCACGTAATGAGATTTAAAGACGACCACTGGACTAGAGCTGTTACTGATTGGATTCCACGGGATGTCAAGAGACCGCGTGGCCGCCCACCTACCAGATGGTCAGACTTCTTTGTCAAGGTCATGAACGATCGGTTTGAGGCCCTCCATGTTCCCGGAGCGAAGAGATGCCATTGGGCTACACTAGCACGCGACAGGGACAAATGGAGACGTTACTGGCGCCCGCTCGAGCAAATCGACGACTAACGGGAAGTTAAGTGTGTGTGTGTAAAGCCTTCCCATCCTGCATGGCCGCTGTAACCTGACCAGTGCTTTCTGGAAGCAACTACTTCTCATCAAAGAGCCTGCTAGGGAGAGAGAGAGAGAAGCTGAGGATCTCGGCAGCTTATTACACAGGGCTTTCTAAAAAATGTTTTTTAAGAAAAAAATTGTGCCCCCCGCCCTCCAACCAGTGCTCAAGGATCATTCCTGGTTGGTGAGACCATATGGGGTAGCAGGACCTACCGGGGCCAGCCGGGAGCACCTTAACCCCACACCATACCCCCATCCGCAGTACCCGGCAACAAGGAATGGTTTGAAAGGTCCTCCTGGGAGACGCTGAGTCAGCCATCTGCCCCGCTCTAAAGTCCCAACTGAATCTCAGAGGAGCTGTGCTCCAAGCAGCTAAAATTCATGGAAACAGGAGTCCCCATGGCTGGCCACGCCCAGGCACCCTTGGGAGTGGGTGGGTGAGTGCCCCCGCCCGGGTGAGGCCCGGCAGCCACGCAAGGGCTCACCACCATGGCTTCACGAGCACTCTCTGCAGAGACACCAGGCTGCCAGTGATTTCAGACACCCGGTGCCAGGCTGAGAACTTGGGGTCTTCTCGGATTTGGGCGGGCAGCCTCTCCCCAGCCCCCTGGACCTCCAGGAGCCCCCAGGAGCCCCCCGCACCTCCCATATCTGCCTCCTGGACAACTCATTGTCCCAGACCATCGATCCATGGACAGTGCCGCACCTCCTGACTCCTCAATCCTGAGATTCCAGCAGGGGCCACCAGGTTAGATGGGACCCTAACATGAAAACTGACTAAAGGTAAAAGGTAAAGGCCCTCCCGTTGATCGTCGATTTGCTCGAGCGGGCCCAGTAACGTCTCCATTGGAGACTTTGTTGTTACTGTGTCTGGCATATCGAATACGTCACGGGGAGCTTGCCAGGCTCTGCCGTGCGGGCGAGATACTCTCGGTAGCTTGCCGGGCTCTCCGAGAGGGGCGGAGGAATCGAACTCGGGTGGGCCATGTTGGCTGCGTGCAAGGCAAACGCCCTACCGCTGTGCTATCGGCTGGAGCAATAGCACAGCGGTAGGGCGTTTGCCTTGCACACAGCCAATATGAAAACTGACTAAATTCAGCAAACCAAGCAGCCAAGATTCAGCGAGCCTCAAACGCCTTAGTAAATCCTTAGACAAGGACTTGGCAACCTCGTGATCAACCATAACAAGTTTCACATAAAAACTGATTTTTTTTTATACTTATCGATTTTCATATCGGAGCCTTGTTACCTCATCCATTTCTTAAATGGTATCAAAAGTCGTGGCTGTTGCCTACACTAAAATAAATCAAAACTAATTTTTTATTTTATTGCCAGAGCAATAGCACAGCGGGGAGGGCGTTTGCCTTGCATGCGGCCGACCCGGGTTCGATCCCTGGCATCCCATAGGGTCCCCTAAGCTCCGCCAGGAGTAATTCCTGAGTGCAAAGCCTGGATTAACCCCTGAGCATTGCTGGGTGTGACCCAAAAAGCAATAAATAAATAAATACCTAATTCTACTTATTTAAAATAATAATAATAATAATAATTTTTAAAGAGAAAAATCTCCGTGAGATAAGACGCGTTCTGAGAAGGGATTAAAGCGTGCATCCCCTCCCTGCGCAGAACCCCAAGAGCTCCCGAGGTCTGTGCTTCCCTCCTCTCATTCCTCCCCCCACCCTCCACCCCTGTGGCTGAGGCCAAGAGGCAGACCCCACTCCCTCCTCCCTGCCTCCCTGCCTCCCTCCCTCCCTCCCTCCCTCCCTCCCTCAACCTTTACCCAGGGACCAGGGCACCCACTAGGTGGCGCCACCGCCCCAGCATTCTGGCCGGGCGCAGTGGGCACCTGACTTGGTGCTGACTTGGTAACAGCGCAGGAAGCTCCTGTGTTGGGGGTCCGAGCCCTGGCACAGAGGGTCTGGTGTTTGCTCTGCGGCGGCCAACCCAGTTTCCATACCCCGCAGAGCCAGCCAGGAGTCAGCCATGGGCACAGGCTGGTGTGACTCCCTCCACTCCCCCCATTTTCCAGTGTGACCCATTGAGGCAGCCCACCTCGACCCTGGGGGCGTGGGACAGACGCTGAAGATCCCACCCTGGGCAGGGGGCGTGTTGGGGGCTGCACTCTGCAGTGCTCGGCATTATCCTGAGGGGTGCAGGGGAGCGAGCCCCGTGGACTGGTGAACGCCCTCAGAGCAGGGCTCTCCCCCCCCCCCCCGAGAAGTCCCCCCCAGGTCTGCCCCACCCCCAGGCTGCAGAGAGGGTGTCCGGCAAGACGTGGACACTAACAGGGGAGGGTCTGAGATACATCCTGGGGTGCTCTCCTCCTGCTGCTCAGGCCTGCAGGCACGGGGCACCCCGTTTCCCAGCGGGAGGGAGGGGGCCCTCTCCGAGGAGACTCAGGCCGGAAGACAAGGGTTGGCTGGGGTGCCCGGGAGAGGGGGGTGGGGGCTGAGGGGGACCTGGAAGGAAGCAGGGTGGTCACTGCAGAGCCGACAGAGGTGGAAGAGGCTGCTCTGAGCACCCAGGAAGCTCGGGGCACGGGGCAGGGTCTCCTGCTTCACTTCCTTCTTGCTTCTCCCCTGAGACTGCTTTGGCTCATGGGAAATCTCTCACCCAAGGCCCCGTGCCGGTCACACCCCCCATTCCTATGCCCCCCGCAAGGGTCCCCGCTTCAGGAATCCCATCTGGGTCACGCAGAGCACGGCTAAGAGGCTGACACCAGACCTCCCCCCACATCCTAGAGATTCGTGGGGATCAGGGCACCTGCCAGGGGGCTGGGGTCGGGGTCACGTGCTGGAAACCAAATTCCAAGCCTGTGCGTGCCAGGCCAGTGACCCTCCCTCCAAGCTGGCCCCGGCCCACTGGACTGAGCTGTAGGACGTCGAAGGGCGGGAAGCCGACGAAGGTTCATCCAGCCGCCTCGACCTTCCCGAAACTCCTGGAGGGAGCGGGAGAGGGGCCAGGTGTGCGGGAGGGCTGTTGAGGTTGCCGGGCGCTGGGCTCTAGCACCATACAGTGAGGGAACAACAGCACAGCACGGGAAGGGCGTTTGCCTTGCACATTGCTGACCTGGCCGACCTGAGTTCGATTCCTCCACCCCTCTCAGAGAGCCTGGCAAGTTACCGAGAGTATCTTGCCTGCACGGCAAAGGAGGTGGTGGGCGCCCGCCCCTCCTGCCTGCTACCCACCCGATGGTCGGGCTCTCAGAGGGCTCTCTGGGTGACCGTCCAGGCTGAACCCAGGGGCTGCTTTGCTCTCAGCTTCAGCAAGCCTGTCCACGCCAGCCAGGCCACCGGGCCTTGCACACCCGACCATCCTGAGGGCTCTTGGCTCCTCTCGCCCAGGCTCCGTACCCATCCCGTGTCCTCAAAGGTCGGGGGGCAGTGGAGATGCAGGCGCTGGTCCTCTGGTAAGGAGGGGTAGGGGCGGTCGGGCTGGGCTTCCAGGGTCTGTGGGGGTAGGCGCAGGGCAGCCTCCTGTGCGGTGAGGCCCAGCTGGGTGACATCCAGGTCCGGGCTGCCGGGGACAGGCTCTGGCCAGTGACCCCGCGGTGAGGGCCTGGTGCTGCAACGGCTCCCGTGGCAAGCTGGGCTGGGAGCCGGGATCCCTCCCAGGTGGCAGGGGGCGGGGACTCTCTGGGGACCGGCCCCAGGCTCGCTCAGGTCCGACGGCATTTAAAGAGGCCTGGCCCTGAGCGGGGCCTAGCGCGCGCGCGCGGGCACAGCCTGGGGCCACCCTGGATGGCGCGCCCGTGAGACGGGGGACCAGCGGGCCAGGCCCGGGACGGATCGACGGGACATGGCCGGCTACCGTGACGGTTCCGGGGTCAGCCCGGCCCGGGCAGCCACGCACCCTGCGCCCTCGGCGCGCGCGGACCGGAGCGCGCTGGACGCCGTGGGCCCGCGCCTCTGGCCGGACGCGCCCCCGCTCGGCGCCGCGCCGCCCCCCCACGACGCGGCCCCCGGCCCGCTGCTCGGCTCCCGGGGGGACCCGGCGTGGCTGGGCCTCGGGGCCCCGCAGGAGCTGCTGCGGCTGGTGCGGCCGCCCTACTCCTACTCGGCGCTCATCGCGATGGCCATCCAGAGCGCGCCGCGCCGCCGCCTCACGCTCAGCCAGATCTACCAGTACGTGGCCGGCAACTTCCCCTTCTACAGACGCGGCCAGGCCGGCTGGCAGAACTCCATCCGCCACAACCTGTCGCTCAACGACTGCTTCAAGAGGGTGCCCCGCGACCAGGACGACCCAGGTACGCCGGGCGCGCCCCGGCCCCGCGCCCTGTCCAGCGGTCCGCTCCCCACGCGCGCCCCGTCCAGCGCCCCGCTCCCCACGCGCGCCTCGGGCCCTCCCCGTCCAGCGACCCGCACCCCACGCGCGCCCCGGGCCCTCCCCAACCAGCGACCCGCACCCCACGCGCGCCCCGGGCCCTCCCAGTCCAGAGCCCCGCGCGCGCCCCAAGCCCGCCCGGTCCAGCGCCCCGCGCCCCACACGCGCCTCGGGCCCTCCCCGTCCAGCGATCCGAGCCCCACGCGCACCCCGGCCCCTCCCCGTTCAGCGATCCGAGCCCCACGCGCGCCCCGGCCCCTCCCAGTCCAGCGCCCCGCGCGCGCCCCGAGCCCGCCCCGTGCCCCACGCTCGCCCCGGGCCCGTCCCGTCCAGTGCCCCGCGCCCCACGTGCGCCCCGAGCCCGCCTGGTCCAACGCCTTACTCCCCACGCGCCCCCGCCCCGCGCCCTCCCTGTCCAGCGAGCCCCTCCCAGCGCGCACCCCGGGCCCACCCAGTCCAGCGCCCCGCGCCCCACGCGCACCCCGGGCCCACCCCGTCCAGCGCCCCGCGCCCCACGCCCGCTCCGGGCCCGCACCGTCCAGCGCCCAGCGCCCCAAGCGCGCCCCGGGCTCCCCCTGTCCAGCACACCGGCCCCGCGCGCCCGGCCGCGGGCACTGCAGGAAGGGGCAGGTCTGTGCGCAGCCCAGCGCGGCGCTGGGGAGGCGGGGAGGCCAGAGTCGGCCCGGGTCGCGCAGTGGGTCCCGCGCTCTGCGCGCCCCCGAGCGTGCGCGCGCTCCTCGAAAGGAGAGTCGCCCTTTGGGAGACGATGGGGAGCCTCTCCGGCCTCCGCCTCGAGCGGTGCAGAGGGGAGACCCGGCTGCACCCCCACCCCCACCCCGGGCCGGGCCCCACATAGGAGCCACACGAGTCGCGCGCAGAGCCCGGTCCGCGCGCCCTCGCATCCGCCAGGTTGTCCTCGCGCCCTCGGGTCGCACCTCGGGCCGTCCCGCTCCCTCCCCGCGTGGCCGGGCACAGGGTCCCGGTGACTCCGTGACCCTCCGGGTCTCTCCGAGGCTGACCGCCCTGGCCCGCCGTGCCAGGCGCGGCACCGGCGTTTCCCAGCCCGGCCTTTCTTCTCCGGCAGGAAAGGGCAGTTACTGGACCCTGGACCCCAACTGCGAGAAGATGTTCGACAACGGGAACTTCCGGCGTCGGAGGAAGCGGAGGGCCGAGGCCAGCGCGGCCGCGCTGTCGGGGGCAGCGCGCAGGCCAGCCGGGGTCCCTGCGCCCCCGGATCGACGGGCCCCGCGCTCCCCGCCCGCTCCCGCCGCCTGCTTCTCCCGCTTCGCCGCGGCCAGGGGCTCCCTGCCTGGGGGCCTGGCCGGGGACTTGGGCCTCGGGAGGCCTTCGAGGGTGGCGGCGCCCTGGCCCCCCCGGACACCTCGGGTACAGCCCAGACCGGGGCTTCCTGTAACGGGTGGGGACCCAGCGCACCAGGAGCCGGCACGGAGGCGCCCCGTCCAGCCGGGTCCCCGTGCTAGGGTGGCACCCCGGTCCAGCCCGGTTCCCCGCTTGGTGGCGGCCGCAGTGAAACTGGACTTAATCCAGGCCGGACCCCAGGAGCCTTGCCCAGGCCAGCGGGTGGCGGGGTGGGCCGCTGCACCCCACTGCGGCCTTGGTCACCTCTCCAACCCTCCCGCGGGAACCGTTTTATTTTTTTTAAGTGCCCAGAATGTTGTCGGGAACCACGGCCACAGGGAGCAGGAACGTGGGTCCCGTGTGCGTGTCCTGGCCCCCGGGGCGGTGACCACCATGTTCTTGCGTCCTGTTGAGATTCCCTCCCCCCACAAAAGAGCCATAGAGCACCTTAAGGTGAAGGTGGGAGACAGATTTGGACCCCTGCAGCCAGCTTTGCGGGCAGAGGTGTGAGTAGGATGTTCCGAGTTGGGGCAAATTCACCACATACACACGTGGTATATTCGTGAGGGGCGTCTCTGCAACTTCCACACATGCTGTGGGGTCAGCCAGAGGCAGAGCCAGTGGGCTCCCTTCCCGGAGAGACAGAGGAAAGGGGGGTCCCCCTAGGAGCACAGCGCTTCACGTCTTGACGCTACTTTGATCAGCTTCAAGGGGAGCAGATGAGTCCACCCACCAGGCAGCTTGTGCATGTGCTGATCAGCGGGGCGGGGTCCCACCACCCGGGGCTTGGAGAGCAAGGGGTGGTCATAAGAGGTTCGGTGATTCAGGGAATAAAACAGACGGTGATGGTCAAGGGGCTTCCAGGTTCTAATGCTGCTGTTCCTTGCCACAGCCCAGAGGGGGCTTGTGAAAACGCCTGCCACGACCCACAGTGAGGAAAACTCTTCTAATGGTGTTTATGGAAAAACAAGGGAAAACACCTTTCCGGAAAGATTTTCCAGCTCGTTTTGAAAAAAAAAATTTTTTTTTCAAAATACATGTTTAAATGCTGTTCAGGTTTCTACCGTTCGCAGTAATGATGGCTCCAAACAGGTGGGAATCTTTCTTAGAAATGCCTCGTTTAGAATAATTCCAGGGCCCCAGAGAACGCTAGGTGGGCTGAGCGCCAACAGGAGGCCGGGTTTGACCCCAGCACTGCCTGGGCTGTGGCCCCCACAAACAACGCACAAACCCAAAGCCGGGCGGCTGTGGGCACGTGGGTGAGTCTGTGTCTGCTTCCGATGTCCTCCGAGTGAGAGGGGAGCAGGGGACCCAGGGACAGAGGCTCAGGATGTGCCCCCCTAGAGCGAAGCAGCTGTTCTGAAATCAAAGTGAGCACAAAGACCCGCAGGGCTTGACATCCTCTGTAGTGTCTTTTAAAGTCTCCTTCAACTTGACCTTCGTTCCAAAGGCGGGAGGACAGCTGAAGGACTGACCCCTGTTGGTCAGGCCTGGTACTGCAGCCAGGAGCTTTACGCTGGAGCCTGGAGCCCAGCCTGGACCCCCTGCAGCCCAGCTGGGTAATCTCGGTGTCCCTTTGTCTCTTGGGTGTGTATTAAGGACAGAAACCAGAGCCTCCCGCGCCAGGAAGGGCCCTTTCACTTGGCCCTTGGTCAGTTTTGAAGCAGGGATGCTTCTACAAATTCCAGCTTGTTTCTAACTAAGCCTCCGGCCCAGAACAGCTGCTGCTGCTGCTGCTGCTTCTTCTTCTTCTTCTTCTTCTTCTTCTTCTTCTTCTTCTTCTTCTTCTTCTTCTTCTTCTTCTTCTTCTTCTTCTCTTCCTCCTCCTCCTCCTCCTCCCCCATCCTCCCCTTCTCCTCCTCCTCCTCCTCCTCCTCCTGCTCCTGCTCCTGCTCCTCCTCCTCCTCTTCTTCTTCTTCTTCTTCTTCTTCTTCTTCTTCTTCTTCTTCTTCTTCTTCTTCTTCTTCTTCTTCTCCTTCTCCTCCTCCTCCTCCTCCTTCTCCTTCTCCTTCTACTTCTCCTTCTCCTCCTTCTTCTCCTTCTTCTCCTTCTTCTCCTCCTTCTTCTCCTTCTCCTTCTTCTCCTTCTTCTTCTTCTTCTTCTTCTTCTTCTTCTCCTCCTCCTCCTCCTCCCCCTCCTCCTCCTCCTCCTCCTCCTCCTCCTTCTCCTTCTCCTTCTCCTCCTTCTTCTCCTTCTTCTCCTTCTTCTCCTTCTTCTTCTTCTTCTTCTTCTTCTTCCTCTTCCTCCTCCTCCTCTTCCTCCTCTTCCTCCTCCTCCTCCTCTTCCTCCTCCTTCTCCTCCCTCTCCTCCTCTACTTCTTCACTTCTTCACTTCTTCTTCTTCTTCTTCTTCTTCTTCTTCCTCCTCCTCCTCCTCCTCTTCCTCCTCTTCCTCCTCCTCCTCTTCCTCCTCCTCCTCCTCCTTCTTCTCCTTCTCCTCCTTTTCCTTCTCCTTCTCCTCCTCCTTCTTTTTTTATTTTGCTTTTTGTGCATCACCCAGCGATGCACAGGGGCTACTCCTGGTTCAGGCACTCAGGTATTACTCCTGGCGGTGCTCAGGGGACCAAGTAGGATGCTGGGATTCGAACCCGGGTTGTCCGCGTGCAAGGCAAACGCTCTCCCTGCTATGCTATCACTCCAGTCCCATCCAGAACAGCTTCTTGTCAGGAGGTAGGAAAGGCCCCATCTTCTGGAGTGAACTTAACTGGAGCCTGCCGGGTGCTGGTTTTAACTAACAACTTGTTTCAAACTTCACAGGGGAAAGAACTACAATGGCCCCGATACCCGTTCATTAGAACCTTTCCACCTCCCAGCAGTCATGGGGTGGCACCTTCACTCTGCCGGAGTGAGCGACCCCTCACCCCATTCCCCACAGGACAGAGCCTGGGCACCAGGGCGGCCTGGCCATGCGCTGGCCCACCCAGCTGATCTAAGGAAGGCGGGAGGCTGGGAGAGCAAGGTGCGGGCTTCTGGGCCCTGAGCAGGGCCGAGCTGAGCAGAGTGTGGGGACGTGAGAGGGAGCATCCCGGGCCAGGGGACTGTCCTCTGGAACTGAGCGGGAGGCTGGCCCCAGGCCCTGCTGCAGAGGTGGGTGCAGCGAAGATCTGGCCTTCAAGGACGAGGTTCTGTTGCAGGGGGGTTGGGGTCATTTCAGTGACCTGATTGATTTTGCCGCCTCTGACGGATTATTTCTTCACTGAATTGTGAGGCATGTCATCTTTTTAATGTGGGGGGGAATTAAAGCAATTTGGAGCATTGCTCTACAAAGAGTACGCACACAAGAACTTCTCGAGAAGGAGGGAAACACTGACAAGAGTTTCCACCATGCAGCTCGCCGGTGCCCCGAACTCTGTCTCCAAGATCATGATTGGTTTTGTTTCATCTAAAATGCCCGGGTGCCAAGTGGCCGAGAACAGATGACTGGTTCCAGAAACTTTGGCACATCTACACAATGGAATACTATGCAGCTGTTAGAAAAGATGAAGTCATGAAGTTTCCATGTGGAAAGTATCGTGCTAAGTGCAATGAGCCAGAAAGAGAGGGACAGACATAGAAAGACTGCACTCACCTGGGGAATATAAAGTAACAGAATGGGGGTCGAACACCCAAGAACAGTTGAGATACGTACCAGGAGGTCTGCTCCATGGCTTGGAAGCCGGCAGCACATGCTGGGGGAAAAGACAGCTCAGGTAGAGAAGGGAGCACCAAGTAAAGTGTGTTGGGAGGACTCGCTCGGGATGCAAGCAAGATGCGTGCTGAAAGTCGATTATAGACCGAACACGTTGGCCACTCAATACCTCTACTGCAAACTGCAAGACCCTGAAGGAAAGAGTGAGCAAAAGGGAATGCCCTGCCACAGAGGCGGGGGGTGGTGGAGGATGGGGTGAGGGGTGGGAGAGCCAATGGGATCATTGGTGGTGGAGAATGGGCACTGGTGGAGGGATGGGTACTCGATCACTGTATAACTGAAACCCAAGCACGAAAGTGTGTAAGTCTACAACTGTACCTCATGGTGTTTCACTTAATAAAAAAAAAAGTAATAAAATGCCCGGGTGAGTCGATAGAGAGTTAGAGGGTTCTGACATCCAAGGAAAATGCAGAAAAAGCAGGAGGCACGTAAGAATCTATAGCTGCGAAGCCTCCAGATTAAGAAAGATTTTTTTTTCAAATCCCTGTACAAATGCTTCTGGACTGTCCAGGGTCGGCTGGCTGAGGCCGTGTGGGCAGTGGTCTATGTTTATGCGTGCATGGCAGGCAGAGATTCAAATGACATTTATAACAGGGAAATGTCATCCGTCTTCACGTGACTGGTAAGATGAATGTTTCCACATTCCCTGACCCCCCAAGAGGGGCCCCTCTGCTGGGCTCCAGTTTCCCGGGGTCAACTGTCATGAAACCGGACCCAGCAGGCACAGAGCCATCAGAGTAAAGCTCTGACAAGGCTCTTAGGACAGTAGCATACCCGGAGAGAGGAAGCCTGGGAGACAGGTGGGCTCAGGAGGCAGTACCGCTGAACCGAGCTGGGCACGGTGGCCGATGGCTGATGGCACCCCCCGCAGACGTGATTGATGCCCCAGTTCATGGCAAGGGAGGGGCCTGGACTTAGCTCTGCAAAGAGGAGAACCGGTGAATGCGCCCAGAGGCACCAGGCTTGCCCCCAGGGAAGGAGGAAGGACCCCAAGTCTCAGCCAAACTGTCTCTGCTCAATACACACCTCCCTAGGGACAAAGGAGGGTGGCAGATGACAATAGGAGGGGTCAGGACATCTGTCCAGAGATGCGGGACCGCCACGTCCTTCCTGGGGAGATGAGGCCCAGGGAGGGGCTGCATTCACGGCTCTGACTTCAAGGAATCATGATTCAAAGGTCAGATTTTATTTTATTTATTTCTTTATTTGTTTATTGCTTTTTGGGTCACACCCGCCGATGCACAGGGGTTCCTCCTGGCTCTTCACTCAGGAATTCCTCCTGGCGATGGTCGGGGGACCCTATGGGATGCTGGGAATCGAACCCGGGTCGGCCGCGTGCAAGACAAACGCCCTATCCGCTGTGCTATCCCTCCAGACCCACAAAGGTCAGATTTTTAAAAGGCAGAAACAGAACAGATTTCAGACTTCGTTCTGAAAAGCATCCTTCATTTCAAAAAAAGTTAACTGTTCCTTAGCACAACATGTGATTCAGCAGGTCTGATTTGTTTTAACTAAGGTAAATGATTCATTGAAAGGAAACGTGATCTAGAGCTTCCCAGGAGGAAAGAAGTTAGGCAGGAGGAACTGGCTAATGCTTTGTCCTGCCTGCCTGCAACCGTCCCTTGTGTGGCCTGCCAGTAAGAGTGACTCATCATTTCTTTCTAAAAAGCCTGGTTTGGTGGTGTAACACGTGGACGGGGTCAGAATGCAAACATTCCCCAAACTTCAGGTTGGGGTGCAGAGCTATAGGCCCATTCCGACGTCAACAGGCCTGTTGAGTCAGTGGGTCAGTACTGCCCGGAGTTCTGGGTGCTTGGCCCAGTCACAAACGCTCTCCGGGTAGATGGGGCTCCCAGCACACTCCCTAACCCCTACCTCATAGCACGGGGCCCAAGGGAGAGCTTCAAGATTTCAGGCTCAGGGCGTGGCCTTACTTGCAAAGTGAGAGGTCTTCAAATGTGATTTTATTTTATTTTAGAGTTTGTTATTTATTTTTTTTATTAGTGAGACATCATGAGGTACAGTTGTAGACTTACAAATTTTTGTGCTTGGGTTTCAGTTATACAATGATCGAATACCCATCCCTCCACCAGTGCCCATTTCCCACCACCACGGATCCCAGTATCCCTCCCACCCCCCGTCCGCCCCATCCCACCCTGTCTCTGTGGCAGGGCATTCCCCTCTGTTCTCTCTCTCCCTTTGGGTGTTGTGGTTTGCAAAAGAAACATTGAGTGGCAATCATGTTTGGTCTATAGTCTATTTTCAGCATGCTTCTCCCATCCTGGGAGGATCCTCCCAACACCCTTTATTTGGTGCTCCCTTCTCCATCTGAGCTCCCTTTTCCCCTAGCATGTGTGGCTGGCCTCTAAGCCATGGAGCAAACCTCCTGGTACTAATCTCGGCCACTCTTGGGTGTTAGTCTCCTATTTTGTTACTTTATGTTCCCCAGATGAATGCAATCTTTCTATGTCCATCCCTTTCTTTCTGAGTCATTTCGCTTAACACGATACTTTCCATGTGGTACCACTTGTATGTAAGTTTAATGACTTCGTCTTTTCTAACAGCTAAATGTGATTTTATTTTAGTTTAGTTTAGTTTTGCTTTTTTGGGTCACAACCGCCGATGCACAGGGATTCCTCCTGGCTCATGCACTCAGGAATTACTCCTGGTGGTGCTCAGGGGACCCTATGGAATGCTGGGAATCAAACCCTGGTCGGCCGCGTGCAAGCGTCCCTGCTGTGCTATTGCTCCAGCCCCTCAAATGTGATTTTAAGGGTCTTTGCAGGCAGGTTATCTTGTGACTGACTTTGCTGCAGAAACAGCACCCACTGTTGTCCCTTCTTCAGAGCCCTCTCTCTCCTCGTTCCTGTTCTGTGGCTTGTTCTCACGCTCACGTCCAACAACCTTCCAGTCTTCGGAGGGGTTGGATGAGAAACAGCACATCGGCGCACTTTTCAGTGCAGCCCTTTGTTATGATTCTTCTCTTTTGTCATTGTTTTTGTTGCCAACTTCTGACTGTACCTAATTTATAAATGAAGGTGCTCACTGGTGTGGATAAGCTGGAAAAGCAATGCAGAGAGAGACACACACACACACACAGAGACAGAGAGAGAGAGAGAGAGAGAGAGAGAGAGAGAGAGAGGTCTGTGTGCTCTGGGCCTCCCGAGACACCTCAGGACCTGAGTTCATCTCCCCTGTAGACTGTACAGACGCGTTGTCTCACAGGCTGTGGTGCCACGAAACATCTCTGCATTCGGCAGAGATCAAACAGATCCGAACACCAGTACCCAGCTCTCACACGGGACCAGAACTTCCTTGCAAACAGGAGGAAATGAAGAGAAGGCGAAGGCCATCAAAGCCAATCTCGGCTAGCTGACTCCGGAGGGGCTGGTGAGATTCATGCGGGGACAGCAGGAAATGTGCCCGGGATGCCCATGGTCCGAGACCGTTAGCTCCTGTCCTCAGCGTCGTTCTGCTACGATGAAGATGAAGATCACGTTTTGATGCCTGCCATACGATTCCGTGGGAATTTGTTTTCTCTCTGGGTCTCCGAGTCCCACAAAATGTCCTCAAACTTGTCCTTGGCCTGCAAAGCTGGACACATTCACTGCCTGCCCCTGGCAGAACAAAGTGGCCCTTTGATTGATTATCAGCGGCTGGGAAAGGCAGGCGGGAGGGCACCGTGACAAACACAAATAGGAGGGCAGAGACGGGCATTTTCACGCAGGGAACAGAAATAGGCCGGATACGTTGTCGTGAGACCTGCAAGTGGCCGATGCCCATGAATAAAGGAGGACAGGTTGGTGGATCTTTAATCTAGCTTTAATTTGTCAATAATAAACATATCTAGAATTGAACCTCAAAAAGGTTAAAGAGAAGGGCCGGAAAGATAGTCCAGCAAGGAAGGTGCTTGCCTTCTGCCAGGATTAATTCCGGAGTGCAGAGCCAAGAGTAACCTCTGAGCATCGCTGGGTGTGACCCAAAAACAAACCAGTGAAAAATCTCCTCCCTCATAGCATGGAATAACGTCCATCCGGCATTCCGATCTTGTTTTAACCTTAAATGAAGCAACCAACAGGGAGCTAGAGCAACAGTACGGCGGGGAGAGTGCTGGCTTTGCACAAGGCCAGTCCTGGTTCCATCCACGGCATCCCCAGACACCATCAGGAGTGATTCCTGAGCACAGAGCCAGCCAGGAGTAACCTCTGAGCATTGCCAGCTGTGGCCCCAAAACAAATTTAAAAAAAAAGAAGTACCCTAAAAAATACAGGATTAGAAGTTGCTAATGGGAGGCCACCATTAATTATAGGCAGGTAGAGCCTTGTATGTGTCTGATCCAAGTTCAATCTCGGGGGTCTGATATGGTCCCCCAAGCCCTGCCAGAAGTGATTCCTGAGTTGAGCAGGGCCAGGAGTAAGCTCTGAGCATCGCCTGGTGTGACCCCCAAACCGAAAAATAAAGTAAAAATAAAGCTCAATGATCAATCACTGTGTAGGTCACAGTTCTTAATTTTATTTTAAGTTTTAAAGCATTGCTGTGAGATTCACTTGAATCGTCGAGTTCACACGAATCTCACAACCTAGCCCACGACTTTCCTGTGTGTGATGGCGAGGAGGGAGGGGTCCCGCCCCCAGCCACACCCTGTTCAGCCCCACAGCAAAGCCCGGTCCCCACTGCCCTGGGAGGGCGAGTCCACCAGTTCCACATGGAGTTGGGCTGGAAAGAGCTGGGGCTCCTATCGGCGGAAACTGTCCAGTGACAGCTACTCCAGGACTTGACCCAAGGCTTTGTGTAGCCTGGGGCGCCAGGAGACGCTGCAACTCGGCCTGGGGCACCAAGGGACACTGCAACTTGGCTTAGGGTGCCAGGGGACAATGCAACTCAGCTGGGGGTGTCAAGGGACACTGCAACTTGGCCTGGGGCACAGGGGACACTGCAACTCGGCTTGTTGGGGCACCAAGGGACACTGCAACTCAGCCTGAGGCGCCAGGGGACACTGCAACTCGGCTTGTTGGGGCACCAAGGGACACTGCAACTCAGGCTGGGGCGCCAGGGGATACTGCAACTTGGCCTGGGGCTCCAGGGGACAATGCAACTCAGCTGGGGGTGTCAAGGGACACTGCAACTTGGCCTGGGGCACAGGGGACACTGCAACTCGGCTTGTTGGGGCACCAAGGGACACTGCAACTCGGCCTGGGGCGCCAGGGGACGCTGCAGCTTGGGCTGGGGTGCCAGGGGACACTGCAACTCATCCTGGGGCACCAGGGGACACTGCAACTCGGCCTGGGGCTCCAGGGGACAATGCAACTCAGCTGGGGGTGTCAAGGGACACTGCAACTCGGCTTGTTGGGGCGCCAAGGGACACTGCAACTCGGCCTGGGGCGCCAGGGGACACTGCTGCTCACTCTCTAGGACACTGTACTTCAGCCTCAGGGCGCCAGAGGGCACTGCCCTGGTCCTGCCACATGAGCAGCTGCCACGGCTGGGACAGGCCAAGGATGTGGTTCGCAGGTGCACCGCGGGGGCAGCTGCCTCTGTGGCTCCATGGGGTGTCTCTGCCCGGCCACACGCGGGAGGAGCCGCCTCTCCCGGCTAGTGTCACCTGCCCCCGCTGCCCCTGCGTCCCCTCACCCGAGGGCTGACCCTGCTTCTCCCGCAGCATCGCGGGGCCTGCAGGGCCCTGGGAGGCGCCAGCGAGAAGCCCCCGCCCACGCCAGCCTAGGGCAGTGTCCGTGGCCTGCGGAGGGGCAGCATCGTCGGGACAGACGGTCGCGGCCACAGCGGGGAGGACCTCGGGGGTCACTGTCGGTCAGGGGGCAGTGTGGCCCTTCCATCAGCAGTACTGCTGATGCCCACCAGGGGGCAGTACGGCCCTGCTCCATCAACCAGCACTGCAGGACTGCTGGTCACCAGCAGGGGTCAGTGTGGCTCTGGTCCATCAGCACATACTGCAGATGCCCAGCAGGGGGCAGTGCAGCAAAGTGAGGCCCCAGGATCCGACAGGTGGGGGTGGGAGGTGGGCTCCAGGTGGGCCCCGGGTCCCCTCTTTCTCCCCCATAAGACCTTGCTCTCCCGCCCCCTCCTCGTTCTCCAGCTCTGGGGCTGTGCTGTGGCCGGCAGGAGCGGGGATGCCCAGCCCAGGACAGAGACCACCCGTGATCTGGCCCCTCTCGTGAAACTTTTCCACTCCTGGGGCTGGAGTGGGCGTTTGCCTCGCACATTGCCAACGCGGGTTCCGTCCCCGGCACCCCAAGTGGCCTCACGCGCACCCCCAAGGGTGAGCCCTGAGCACAGAGCCGGGAGTAGGCCCTGGGCACCGCCGGATGTGGCCCCAAACAAGAGCAAAAACCATTTACTATGAGGCTGGACAGACGGTACAGCCGGCCAGGCACTGGCCTTGCACGTCGTGGACCCAGGTTCGATCCCCAGCATCCCAGGTGCTCCCACAAGTCTGCCAGGAGTGATCCCTGAGCACTGCGGGGTGTGGCCCCCAAACCAGCGCGCACACACACACACACACACACACACACACACACTTCTTGTTTGATTTTTGAGAGCTTGTGCCTTCCTTCACTGACACAAGCCACAGGGAAAGGACAGTGCCCAGCAGGATGGCCTGGCCTGGCCGGCATCTGCTGCCTCAGCACCTCCCGTCCACGCAGACGCTGGCCACTTCCTCACTGACACCAGTTCCCAGGTCTGCAACGTGTGCCCTGGCCCCCACCTGCAAGCCCTGACATCGTCCCCCGCCGTGCCCCTCACTGCCCAGTTTTTATGTCTTGTCTGAAGGACTGACGTGGCATCCTGGCAGAGGACGGGACTGGTAACCGAAAACCAAACCCCACAAACGCCTTCACACTGCGCCAGACACGCCCCACGAACCCCAGGGAGCAGCTTCTGCTTAATTAACCTGGAATCGTGCTATTTTTTCAGATAATTGTGTCAGGGAAACGCGGCAAGATGGAATGCAACCTGCTCGAGCCGGTACTGTGTGAAGGGCTGGAATTAGACATCCAACACTGGGACGCCGGGCCTGGGCAGAGGTGAGGCCTGTGGGGTCGGGGAGCCCAGTGGGCAGTGCCTTTGCGGGAGGGGCCCCAAGTCAGGCAAGCAGGGAGGCTCTCCCGGGGTCAGGGACTGCAGCAACTCCCAACTCCCACCCCGGGGGAGGGGGTGCTGTGGGGGGCCGTGCTCCCCGAGCCCCATCCACCGAGCAGAGGCGGTTCATGGCCGAGGCCACTTCAGGCCCCAATGGAAACTCAAGCCAAAAGCCTGGGTGCAGAGAGAAGAATCCAGAGCGGCCGGGACGCCGGGCCTTCCGGAACCAGCACTGTTGGAAAACCAGTGACGCTGGAACTGGGTCTATGCGGCTCTGCTAGACCCCGAAAGATCTCAGGGGTCCCAGCCCCACCATCTGGACCTGAAAGATGCCTGACCAGTCACTGGTCAGAGCCTGACTCCCACCCACTGTCCAGCTGCCCTGATGACCCATCCCTGGCCCTTCCCCAAGTCCCGTCTGCGTCATGCCCAAGCCTCTGCGCTCAGCCGGGCTCAGGGGTCAGCGGGCTCGTGGCCAGCCAAGGAGCTTCCAAGACAGCCCAGACGTCTACCACTGCACCCGGAGCTGGACTGCGGCAGGCCTGGGTCCCAGCTCTGGCCGATTCCTTGAAAGCTGCCGCGCTCGAGCCTGGAGACGTGGCTTGACCTCCGCTCTCTTTCAGGCCTCATCGGGAGCTGCGCTGGCACACGCTTCCGTGTTGGAGGAAGGGAACAGGCGCCATTAGTCTCACTTGAGTCCTCGCCTCGTCTCTAATGACTCTGAGTCATTATCCTCCACACTCCGTCGGCTCCCAGCGGGCCGGGCTCGCAGGGGCTGGGCCGGCTGAGGCTGCAAGGCCACAGGAAGGTCCCCGCAGCCCCCCAGCCCCGCGTGAATAACCCCACGGCAGGCAGGGGCCACTCTGCGCTTCCTCAGGGCGATGCGTCCCACGGGGGCTGCCTCCCAGGTGTGCGCTGGAGTGCCAGGTCCACTGCCCCCCCCCCCGCCTCTCCTCTGCCGGGGCCTGATTTGACCCCACACCTGCTTCCTCAGGGCCCTCTGCATACTTTGGAGTCACTCCAGCAGTGCTCAGGGGCCACTCCTAGCTCTGTGCTCAGGGCTGACTCCCGACTCTGTGCTCAGGAATCACTCCCAGCTCTGTGCTCAGGGCTTACTCCCGGCTCTGTGCTCAGGGCTCACTCCCGGCTCTGTGCTCAGGGCTGACTCCCAACTCTGTGCTCATGGCTTACTCCCAGCTCTGTGCTTGGGGCTCACTCCCAGCTCTGTGCTCGGGGCTCACTCCCGGCTCTGTGCTCGGGGCTCACTCCCGGCTCTGTGCTCAGGAATCACTCCCGGCTCTATGCTCAGGGCTCACTCCCAGCTCTGTGCTCAGGGCTGACTCCCAACTCTGTGCTCATGGCTTACTCCCAGCTCTGTGCTCGGGGCTCACTCCCAGCTCTGTGCTCAGGGCTCACTCCCGGCTCTGTGCTCAGGGCTCACTCCCGGCTCTGTGCTCAGGGCTCACTCCCGGCTCTGTGCTCAGGGCTCACTCCCAGCTCTGTGCTCAGGGCTCACTCCCGGCTCTGTGCTCAGGGCTTACTCCCGGCTCTGTGCTCAGGGATAACTCCTGACTCTGTGCTCAGGGCTCACTCCTGGCAGACCTTGGGGGACCCTCTGGGGTGTCGGGGGTCAAGTTGGTTGTCTGCATGCAGGGCTACCTCCTACCCGGTGATCACCACCCCTCACGTGGGATCTTGTGTCAGGCAGCGTAGGTGCTGGTGGGTGCTGGGTGGGCAGCTCATGACCTGCAGAGTGGCCCCATCCTTATCAGGTGACATGTCATGGGCAGCCCCTCCAGGGGCCATTCACATGGCCAAGGTGCCCGCTGAGTGCTGAAAGGACGGAAGGAGACCTTCCCCCAGGCCTGCTCACAGGAGAAAGGATCTCGGGGTGGTGGGCTCCGGTCTCAGTGCCCAGCGGACACCCTCCTTCCCACGCCAGTCGGACTCTGAAACCCAGAGCCCGGCGTCACGTGACTCTGGAGTGACTGCCACGCCTGTCCTGCGTCCTGCAGAGTGATTTCAGAACATTTTTCTGAAAACCTGTTTGGGCCGTAGGCCCACAGCCCTTGCGGGAAAGGTTCCATCCCGAGAAATTGGACTCTGCCGAGAAAGCAGCTGGCTCTCAGGGGCCACTTGCTGAGCCCCCGGAACAGCAGGGCAGAGGGCGGAGGGTCCCTGAGTAACGCCAAGCCCAGCTCAGCCTCCTGCCTGTGCTCCGAAGGCCTGGCCAGTGCGTCCTGCCCGCCTCCTGCGACGGGCTCTGCCATGGGAGGGACCCCCAGTGGGTGCTGACGGAGCCAGTCTGCCCAGGGGAGTCACTGTCCCCCTGCCAGCGGCTGGGGGGAGCTGGCGTGTTTGGGCCACGGGGGCTCCTGAATTCTCCCTGGCTCGTGTGCTGGTCACTCCTGGTGGGCTCAGAGGACGGAAATAGTCGGCCACGAACAAGAACAGTCTTAACCCCCAAACAGTCTCTCCAGAACTCAAAACAACAACGACAACAACCCAATGTCAGGACTCGAACTCGGGGCTGCGTGCTCGACCCAGCGACGCTCTCTCCGGCCCGTGAGCGTCCATCCGGTTCTGGAGGCTTCCGGAGCTCTTTGAAATGTTGGGACTCTTCTTTGACCCATTTTTCAAGTGTTATTCTCTGCAGGGATCTTTATGACCGATCATTTTTTTCTGCCAATAAATGAAAGTGAGGGATTTGGGGGAAAAAAAGGTTTCATTATATTATTCTTATTAATTCCTAGCGGTTGTAATTTTGAGTCTGTTTAAGAATGCAGGCAGCGTGCTTGGCTTCAGAGGGACCGCGCCGTTTCCCCATTTGGAGAGAGTTCGTGGAGATGCTGTTCACAGCTGCCGCCGGCTCAGGGACCCCCGAGCCCCTGGGGGGACGGGAAGCTCACGGGGAGCCACTGCAGACCAGGCGCCTTGGGCTTGGTCACTCGGCGGTTTGGTCACTCGCTGGCCCTGGTCCCTGCTACCTGCGTTGGGTCTTAAAGGTCTCTGAGAGGCGGTTGGAGGTGGGTGGAGGCACCTGACCTGTTGTCACCTCCCTTTGCCTAGGAAGGTGACGTTCAGACCGCAGGACCCTGAGACCTGGGACCCTCGGCTCAGAGGGAGGCAGGAGAGGAAGAGGAAGGGGGTGGGGAGGAAGGCCCCTCACCTGCCAGCGAACTACCTTTAGATTCTGACCACCCAGCTCCACCCACACATGCGTGCACACACACACACACACACGAGTACACACATGCACACAAGTACACACATACATACAAGTACACAAGGCACACAAGTGCACACGCAAGTAGACGTATGCATACAAGTACGTGCACACAGGTATACACACATACACAAGTACACACATGCACACAATTGCACACAAGTACACAAGTATTCACACATACACACAAGTATACACACAAGTACACACATACACACAAGTATACACACAAGTATACACACCAGTACACACACATTCACACAAGTACACACATGCAAACAAGTACACACATGCACACAGGTATACATACAAGTACACACAAACACATACATACACACAAGTGCACACATACACGCAAGGCTACACACGCACACAAGTACACTCAGACAAGTCCACAA